TTCCCAAATCTTCGCTCGCGAAGACTGGCCATTAAATTAAATATTAAGAGTTAATAATCTCAACTGTGATATTTCATGTAGAAATCAGGCAAAAGAGTATAAACTAGGTTTGCTTTTGACAAGGCGGTGTTTTACATTTTAATCTGCTCAACTGACTCAGTAATTCATGTAAATTTAATAGTTTTGAGGAAACTACTTTAGAACCTCTTAAACGCTAATGCTTGATAGTCTTGGTGTACTCTTCTGAACTGAGTTTGATTATGCTGCTGAATAAGTTAGACAACAATTTGCAGTCTTGTCATTAAACTTGTGTTTTGTAGATGTGTTTAAATAGTGTCAAATATGTGTGTAAATAAAAATACAGTCAACTGTACAGATAAGGTAGCAAAAAAGCCAAGTTCTCTGGTCTCTTTATATTTTGCTGTTTGTAACAAAATACTTTAATTTTGCTCTCATAGACATTGCGATGTCCTCAAAGTTCACTGTTTGGTGTGCAGTTTGGAAACTAGTATTTTATTAGGAGATTAGCATATTTGAACTGGTAATTTATTTTAAAAACTGTATTTATGCAACTCTTTTAAGGTATTAGGATAGAATGGAAATCTCTCTAAAGCAATAGTTTGTTGGATGCAGATTTACCAAGTGGAGAATGTGTGTGAAGAAGAGATGCCCGAGGACTCGGATTGTGTGCACATGGCAAGGACACCTACACCACCCACCTTGTCTCCACCAGCCATAACCTTGGGGAATGGAGAGGCCCTTAATTCAGATGATCCTTTGTCAGGTGAGGACTAATGTCCAACTAAGGTAGCTTTTGACATATGGATTTGTGATTTGTGTAAGTAATTAATGGCCAACTATGCTTATGGTCAGTAGATATTGAGTAAAGGAAAATGTTTGCGTGAGGAGTGTGTGTTTGTGGAATATATAGTCTGTCTAGAGAAACAATCTTGTTTTAGGGGTAAAATCTATAAATTGTAGGGAAGAGCCTGTTAGGTGGTGCAGAAATGGGTCTATCACCTCTTATTTCTAGAATTCTGAGCCAGTGGTTGGACTTCAGTGATAAAAACATAACATACTTGTTATCTTTTTCAGAACACGGGGGACTGCCTTCGGTGACATCATCAGTCAGTGCCTCAGTAATTAAATCTCCATCTGATCCTTCACATGCCTCTATTCCACCACCACCTCTTTTGCTTCCAGCAGCAACGACAAGGAGCAACAGCACCTCAATGCCCAACAGCATTCCTAGCCTAGAAAATAAACCTCCACAGGCTATTGTTAAACCCCAGATCCTGACCCATGTCATCGAAGGCTTTGTGATTCAGGAGGGGTTGGAGCCATTCCCTGTAAGTGTAGAAGTTGCTAAGAATTTTTTACTACTAATCTTCGAAACAAACTGTTTGTAAGGATGATATTTGTGGCTAGTAGGTATTTAGATCCTGAATTATTTTTCAGATGTCGGTTTTGATCTTTTGTCTACTGATTGATGAGTTGAGTAGTAGGTTATATCTGGAGATAAACACAGAGAGTGATTTTAGGCTGCCATTTGCAGTAACGTTTTTACGTTTGTCTGTCTCCAAGATCCCTCAATTTTAGTGATACCTTAATTTAAACCTCAGGGCTGAGTCTGTGTTGAAATTCCAAAATGTTAAAAATTGTTATTTAAAGCACTGGCAAACTCCTTAGGGGGCTAGGTGTGATTAGTGCTGTGCCTGGTTAAGAATTACTGTTGAAAATTTTAAATCCACAAATGGGCAATTTAAAACCTGCCTTATTAACTAATTCAATGTGTATCTCATTTCACCATTCCTTCATCTGTGTAGATATAATGTGTTTCTTCCTTTGTTAAATGTAATTGCAAAGTGTGCAGAGCTGAGTTTTTTATTTGTTAGAGAAAGGGTATTTAGAGCTTTGGCACCACATAATGATTCATGGATAGGGAGTAGAAACTGGTCATCTGCTCGGGTACAACTGCTAAGTCACAAATACCATTTTTAGTTATTCCTTGTTGCTTTGCTTTTATTGCAATAGGTCAGTCGTTCATCTTTGCTGGTGGAACAGCCTGCAGAAAAAAGGTTGCTGGTGGAGGGTCAGATCATGAGTGTTGTGTGTGTGGAGTCAGACTTGCAGAACACGAAACATGCAGACAACTCATCGGACACAGAGATCGAGGATATGATTGCAGAAGGTTTGTGGTTTTTGTTTAAATACCCACTTTTTCCCCTTCAGTTTTGTGTGTAGTACAGAATCCCATACTGTCTGTACTTCTGGAATCTTCCTCCAGTCTTTACACTGTCTTTAATATAAACTATTTTCAAATGTTTTTTGCTCACTACACACCAACACAAATGTCAAGACATTATGCACTTGTCCTGCTTAGAATACAGTGGTCTCCAGCACACCTCATGAGCTAAATTGAGTTCCCCATGCAGTATCCAACACAATCAAAATCATGGACTTTTTAGAACTCAGCAGTCAACTATTTTGGATGTGTAACACCACTGTTACTGTTCAAACCCAGATATAGGTAGCCCTGTGTGTGTGCTGTGAAATGGAAATCAAACTGTGGCCTGCCCCAGAAAAGCAAAGTTATTCTGTCATGGCCAGGCTTCACAAATGAAGATTTAGGAAGGCTCTATCCACGTTTGTTACAGGCACGCTGGTGGCTTATGAGGCCAATACGAGACAGACATATCAGTATTCCATAGATTCAAGATTCAATGTTTTCCTTGCTTTCATGTGTCCCTTTGGTTGTAGCAGCTGCTTATTCAAAGAAAGTATTTAAGAGGTTACTGCATTATGTCATTACAGGAGAGCTTGAATTTAGACTGTGGAAGACCTGGTTCTCTTAATGAACTCTTTATAAAGTAATTTATGAAGACTGTAACTCTGTTTAACTGTTTGCTAAGTTCGAGGACATACTTGCTCATGGATGGCTTGAAATACAGCAAAAAACTGATTAAATTCATTGCATAACTTAATTGAAGGTTCAGTTTGCTCAAGATCTTTTCCACAGAGAATGAAATCTACAGCTTGCTCATCTTTGCATAATCATCTCTTAATCAAAGGATTTAATTAAATGTGTTAGATATTTGAAAATCTTTTACCTCCCTGCTTGAGGTGAGAAATGTGAACATAATTCGTGCCATTGAAACTGACTTCTTTGTGCCTCACTCCTTTCTTTAGAGGGACTGGATGAAATTGAAAATGAACTTCTGAAGTGTGAATTTTGTGGAAAAATGGGGTATCCCAATAAGTTTCTACGGTCAAAAAGATTCTGCTCCACATCCTGTGCCAAAAGGTAACTCTGTCTAGTTATTGCTTATCGTTAAGTGGTTAATGGATTAACCTCTCTTGGTTAAGAGAGGAGGAATTCCCAGTCAACATCTGAATATAAAGTCTTCCATCATTACAGCTGGAAAGTTGACATTTAATCCCAGATGTTTTAGAAATGGGGAATAATTTCCCATTTCTAGTCACTGCTTAGCTCTTTTTTTTTGCATTCGTGTGCCTGGAGATGACCTTTCTCTGTGTGTCTGCTACATTCCCATTTTAAGTAGTGGGAGTTTATATTTTTCATTTAGTACTTGTTGGGACACCACCAGTGAAATAAATTTAAGAAGGGGTTTGGCCCCTTAACGTGGGATTTTTGCCTCCATCCTCTTTTGACTGGGTATCAGCCAGGTAGAGAAAATGGAACCAAAATATACAGTGTGATTTTAGGTTTTTAGTGGATATTTCGGAGAAGCAAAACCATATTATGTGATAAAATGCAAAGGTATTTCTATCATGGAAACATTTTAAAAATGGGAAGGACAGACATCTTCCAGGGATGATCTAGGTGTACTTGATCCTGCATCAAGATGAGGGGCTTGAGTAAGTGGCCTTTGCGATACCTTTCTCTTTTATTGCTGTGACAGCTGTTGTTTTAATTAAGCAGCATTTCTACAACACTGTGATTTTATGGTTACTTGATTGAATTCAGTCCAAAAAACCATTAGTGCATTATTGAATATATCTTACTTCTTTAGGCACAGCCTTAGTTGCACTAAGAAATTTGGGCTGTTTACATCAGACAAGACCAGTCGTTGGAATCGGAAGTCAGATAGCCAAAGTCTTGGGCGACGCGGGCGTCGGCCGAGCGGCCCTGAGGGGGCGTCACGAGAGCATTTTCTTAGACAGGTCTGTGGAATATTTGCTTAAAACTATGGCATTGCTTTGGGAATTGCAAATAAAGCCTAATACTGTAGTGTATTTGTACTGCGTTTTCCAGCTTCCAATTACTTATCCATCTGCAGAAGAGGAGCTGGCTCCTCACGAAGACGCTGTTCCAACGGCCATGACCACGCGGCTGCGGAGGCAGAGTGAGAGGGAGAGGGAACGGGAGCTGAGGGAGCTGAGGATCCGGAAAATGCCAGAGAGCATCGACCTGTTGCCAGTGGTGCAAACTGACCCCTCAGTGTGGACTGTGGATGAAGTTTGGGCCTTTATCCATTCTTTGCCTGGTATGTTATGTGCAGTAGCTTGCTCTCTTGTTCTTTAACAGTGAAGTTCCTTGCGTTATAGCATCCCTGTGATGAGGAGGTGATGTGGTTACAACACTGCCGTACTCCATAGTTGCTCATAGAGACTGGAATGTGATTTCTTTCCTCTTGCTTGTTCCTTCAGCACAAATCCCATGTTGATAGAACTAGTCCCACTTCTGCTGTTGCATCCCAGCTGATGGAGTTTAGAGCTGTTCCTTCCTTCAGTCTGACTTCTCTCAAGAGGTCAGTAGAGAGGTCAGACACACTTGCTCCTTGTTACAGTTCTCTCTTCCCTCCTCACTTGCTGGTTATTCAGTAGAAAAAGGAAGAGCAGTGTTATTTCCCTTGATACAACTGATACAACTTGATACAAGTTTGAAAGACCTATCCTGATACAAGTCCTTAAAAAAGAATAAACAAGTTGCTTCTATAAGGTTAAAGTTTATTTTGCTTAGCTTTGCTGAGAGAACTCCTGCCTAGAGATTCTGCTTACTGGTAGGCACAGTTTGTTCTCAGAAAAAACAGTCTGTTTTCTCCTTATTTACAAACCTTTTCTTTTAGCTAGATATTTATAGTTACCTTTATGTCATCTTCGGGTTATTTGACATTTATTTATCATTTCCTAACTATCATGAGCTTTAAAGCTTCACTCCCCACCTTTTCCCAAGGATGCCATTCTGTCTGATAAGATGCTGTAATCCCTCCAGGTAACAGCAGGTCTCCACAGTAGCAGTCATACCAGAATTTTTATTCCTTACCCATTAAAACACAGGTTAACTTTGTTCCTAATTTTCTACTTTTTCTGGGATTCTAAACAATTTTTCTGTGTATCCCATTATGCTTATAACCTATAAGGAATATATCTTCATTGCTAAGTCATACACATGGGTTATCACAGATAATCTTTTACAGGTCAGGCAAAGAATGGAGTAAGGAGTTGTCTTAAATCAGCAAAAGTCATCCTTGAGGTACTTTTCTTCTAATAGTTTATTGCAGTTGAGTTACATTATCTGCTTCTGGGAACCTGCAGTGTTGTCTGTAAAAACAGTCAAAGCTCCTTAGGTTTGACATGATCATTCGTGTTTCTGTAGTTGAGCTGTGTGGTGGAATATAGTTATATCAGTCTTGTTTTGAGTTACTGTTTTTATGGATTTGAGGCTCCAGGTAATCCAGTAACTGATCCTAGGCTCTGAATAAAGGGCAGCTCCTGTCCTAGAGTAATTGAAGTGGCACATAAGCACAATTCACTTGCAACTATGAAACAAAAAATGTTATTCTTAAAATGCAGTTTCTGTTTTGAAACATTACTTTTAGAATATTTCACCAGCAGCTGGAATTAGGGTGGCTTTGTATTATATAAACAAGATAATCTTTGATTTTAAATTAACTTTACACTTCTCTATACTTAATGAAAATTTATTGTATTTACTCATTCTCATCTATATGAAGGCCTAGTTTCTCTAATACTTTTTTAAAAAGTTCTTTAAACAGTATTATATTCACAACTGGCCAGAATTATTGTTGTTACATCTACAGCTACATTCACGTTTATTGACAGTTTTGGAGTTTATTCTGTTCAATATATTCTCAATTTACTCTCTTGAAAAAAATAGTTTTTCATATGCTGTCAGAGTTGAATAATATGAAAAATAATAGAATTGATTTTCATTGTGCTGGTTTATATTATGTATCTCCTTGGTGCAGTCCCTGCAGACCATCTGCCATGTTGTAGGAGATGGTGATTTGTCACCTTTCCACAAACATCAGGGACATCTGTTCTGGGTTACAGCTTTCTGTGTAGTCTGTAGCTGAAGATCTAACTGACCTCCTATGGAGCCTTTTGGAGAAATGAAGATTGTAGGACACTTCTGCTGTTACTTCTTTCTTCTGGGAGAAGAGACAGCCACAGTTTAAGGACAATTTTCTCCTTTCTTTCTTCAGTTGCAAGATAAATGGCCCTTCACTCGCTTCCCATCCTTTTTTTATTTGGCCAAGTTATTGCACAACAAACAGTTGCAAAAGTGCTTAAGAGTACCCAGATGTGCTTGGATTAGGGAACTGAAATACATTCAGCTTCCATCCTCTGCTTTTCCAAACTGACTTTGATAAAAAGTAGTTCAGAAGTTGCATGGAAATTCTTTGTGTCCTGCTTAAAGGAAAAAGCCTGCAACAACATCCAGTTATCTGTTTGAATAGGACCAGTTTTGTTCTGAAATGCAGGAATTTCTCTTGATCTCTCAGATGCTTTATAAATGCTGTGGTCTGACAATCACAATGTCATTAAGTCAGACATGCCATGGTACCTTTCACAGGAATACTCAGTATTTGACTTACAGGTGTTTTATCTGTTGTGAGCACTTCAACAGGAAAACCTTTATGATGATGTTGTAGTTAATTGTTGCATGAGGTCTGTTTAACAAATCATTAAGAAGAAAAGTCGTGCTTTGTTCTTTGTTTAAAGCCAACCTTTCCCAACCTTGAGTGTTATGACCTTTACACAGTAATAGTCCAAATTAATTCAAGTTTGGATGTCAATACTTCCTTCCATGTTTCCTTTCCATTTATCTTGTACATATTTGTAAATCCACCAGGAAATTAGACTGTCTGTTCTTGACAGAGTTTAAATCTGAACACACAAGAGGACATGACATTAATTGCTCTCATCTAGGTAGAAGAGGAGTTCTTCAGAGTAATTTCATATCTCTGTAATAGTATACATTTAAAATGGGAAAATGTAGAAATGCCAAAAAATAGGCTTAACTGAGGAATAATTGAAAGCAGAAATGGAAGGTGGAGCACAGATTAAAGTGTGTCTGAAAGGCTCTGAGACAGATGGAGAGACCACTGGACTGAGAACACAAATGTCTTTAAAACCATGAAAAACATGGCTAAGGGGAAAGAAGCTTCAAATAAACAGCTGACAATGGATGCTCTCTTCACATCGTCCATCTAACAGAGCTGCCATGGACTCAGACACATAATTGACTGTTTCTGCTTAACAGATGTCCAGAACATCTTTGGAGAAACCTTTGTGTCCACAGTGTTCTTCAGTGGAAAAGGGCCCTCAATTACTTGGGGCAGTCCAATCCATGGAAGAGTCTTTTGTCTCATGTTGCAAACCTCAGTAACCTGAGACCACGTTATTTCATGTTCAGAGTTTAACATGGAAAAAAGATCCAGCTAGTTTAAACTTGTACTTGTGAAGTGAGTTACTGCCCTGTATAGATGACAGATATCTTCATGAGATGGTTGTGCTAAAGCCCATAAATCAAAACTTTGTTTCCTCAACCCAGTGGTGTAACACAAATGAACTTAACACCTTTTGGAAATGGTAGCTATGTGGATGTTCTCCTTGAGTTGCACATAGCAGTAGAATATAGTATCTTTCATAACAGTAAATAGTAGCATCTTTTTATTTCTGGAAAGAACCTACTTGAATTATGCTCTTGATTACTATATCAGTGCTGTTTTCCCAGTCTCTTCCAATTGTGGGAGGTTGTTCCTCATAATGAAATTACAATTCTTAATTGAATGTCCCAGTGAGTTACAGTGTAATTAGAGGCTGTATTAGAAAATACTTTCAGATTATCTCAGAAGTCCCCATCATAATATTGAACTCTTGCATATACTTCAGGTTCTGCAGGCTAAAGGGATGAGTGCTGGAAAAGGTGTAGCTGAAAAGCTCTAGTGTGGACAGAATCATTGCGTCTAAGAATTCATATTTCTAACCAAATAAATCTATTTTTTGTCGCCTTTTAGGTTGTCAAGATATTGCAGATGAATTTAGAGCACAAGAAATTGATGGACAAGCTCTCCTTTTGTTGAAGGAGGATCACCTAATGAGTGCAATGAATATTAAGCTTGGACCTGCATTGAAAATCTGTGCACGTATCAATTCCTTGAAGGAATCCTAGGAGGTGAACATGAAGGTTTAAACAACAGTTTCTCAGTGACAGAACTGACAGTAATATGCCAACATCTTCACTGTGGCATGAGTGTTACTGTGATGTTTTGTTAAATTGATGGGGTTTTCCCCACATAAAGACTTAAAAACGTTCCTTTGATTATACCAAGTAGTCCTCTGATGTTTCCAACAACTAATAGGTTCATGGTAAAGCCTGAGTAATATTTTGAGTTGAAGTTTTTCATGTAAAAACATGGAGTGAAATATGCTGTGATAGGTTAAATATTCCCCATCATGTACTTCATCTTATGAGTTTAAGGTTAACACCCCAGCCCCCACCCCAATCTAAACACCTTTTAGATTGTGTTGCTGTAATCTGAAAGATTTTTTTCCCCACATACAGCAGTGTTTGGACTGAACTGACAGAAGTGTCCACAGGCCCTGTGGAAGGACTAGTACCAGTAAAATGCTATGCATTTAGTTGTGCTCTCTGAGTTTCTTTTAGTCTTGAGCTAATTGTTTGTAAGGGGTAGGTTGGCAGCTGGCTTACCCTCATCTCTGCCACTATAGTATTTTCTTGAAGTCTGTAAAATACTATAAACCTTATGGATGTCTCATCAAAATCCTCATGATCAGGCTACTGACACTCCTGCCAGAGGTAACTGAAGCACATGTTACTTTACTCTTTGAATGCTGCTATGCACTAAGGGGGCATTAAGTGTTAGGTTTGTAGTTTCACATGCTGCTAGTTAAGCTAGACCAGCAGTTCTCAAATGGAGATCAGAGTGGGCCCTGAGGAGGTGTGTGAGCCCTCAGGGTTCAGGTTCCCAAATGCCCAGGTGTGAGGGGCTGAACGCTGCAGCCAGAAACAGTGTTGAGACAAGTTACTGGAGAGGCTGGAGATAGAGAAGGGACAGCATAGCTCAGATGTTCTTTTAACTGATACCTCTTCTGACATGTCTTTCCCTGTAGTGCATTCCCATTGGCCCACTGGAAGCTCCCAAGCACCTTTGTTTGTCCCCTGGCCGGTGTGAGCTGGGCTTGAAGGACTCTGAGGAAGGAGCACAGGGCATTGCTCCATGAGGCCCCTTCAGAGCTCGCTGTAGGAGCAGCTGCTGCTGGCATGAGGGAGCCCAGAGCTGTGGGTCAGCAGAAGGAATACCAGCACTTGGCAGCTCTAGGAGAAATCTCCAGGGGCCCTGCTTTGTCCCTCTGGCAGGAGATTTTGTCTTGGATGCTGCAGATTTAGGCAGTGGGATTTTAGTGTCTCCCACCATTTTCCTTCTCACGTTTTCTGTGGAACAAACACGTGTTTCCCCAGTTTCTGATGCTCTTGGGAGCTGCCTGAGCTCTGAGGCAGCAGCACCTTCTTGGCCTTTGCTTCATCACCTGTGCACGGATGTTCATGGATGTATTTTGTACCTTCTGTGCCCTCCCTTTTGCAGCTCCACTCCCCTTGTGTACAGACCTGGATCCCTAAACTCTTGTGTAGGGAAAGAAGGGTACGTGTGCTGGTAGTTGTTGTGTATATTTGAATTAAATATGTGTACTTGTCTGCAAATAATGTATTTTGTATTTTATGCAAATTAATGCATTATATGTGATTGTGTAAGGAGGTATTCAGGGGGACTGTAAAGTATTCCTGCAAAAAGAGGAACTGACCTGAAGTTTGAGAACTGCTGCCCTAGATCAAAAGGAGTCAATGCACATACACTGGCTGAAAGGCAGGTTTGTGTATTATTATGTATAATATTTAACTGATGACTTTAAAGAGTAAATTGGGATTACAGAAAAATCTGTGCTTCATTTTCCTTTAATTAGACCATTACTTTGTTTCCACTAACAGACTTTCTATCCTTATCTTCTGGAGATCAACATTAGTATAATTGTTTTTAATTACAACTGTTTGAGCTTATTAATAGCAGATATTATCAATATTTTTATTAACCACTGAAGCTCCAAGTTAGGACAACCCATTGCTGTTACACATTGGTATGTGGTGAGAGCCCTTGTCCAAATGTCACCAAAGGCTTTAGAGAAGGAATTGATGCCTGGGTTTATTTCAGAGGGAAGTTGCTAAGCACTTTCTAATTTGTTTTTTCTGTCTTCGATTACTGTTGTAAAATAAACTTCTTAGTTGAAGGTCCAGCATTTGGCAATGTTCATCTGAAAGATGTTCAAATGATGGAGACAGTGTGTTCCCATTTGTAGCATTTCTGTAAGATACACAGTGTAGCATATCTGTAACATATGTTCTAAAGGATATGTTCTGTTTTGATGAGCTAATTGAAGACTAAAGATATCTTAGATATTTATCCTTTGGCTTTTGTCTAAAAGTTTTATTATTTTTATACGGAAAGTTCACTGGCTAATTTTTAATCTGTCTTCTGACTGTACTGTTCTTAGGCGATGTACAAAGTAGGGCTGCATAAGTGTGGTTTGATAATGGCTTAAGGTATTTTAGAAAACGTGGACTTAGGAGTCTTATTTAGACCTGCAGTTAATCAGTGTTACATGCATGAGAATTTCATGGCTGTTTTAATTTTGCTTTATTAGGCAGCTTTCAGGAGAGCTCCTCCAGCTTGTGTTTGTCCAACTCACTGCCAGGTGCCAGGAGCTCAGAGCAGACCCAGAAAGGCACATCTGTTCCTGTTCTTCTGGTGCGTGACATTCCCTGTGGGTTTGGGAGAGCCACAGATAGTGAGTTGTGCTTTAAATATTTTTGAATGCAGCAGCTAAGAATGTGGGCCTTCTGCAGATTGGAAGTTTTTTCTCCCTCACTTATTTTGGTATTAAACTGGAACTTAAAAGCAGACACAGCTGTACCAACCTGTGCTGGTGGAATGCACTCCTGTGGGAGTGTTTGCCAGCATAGCTGTGTCAATAAAATCAGTTTTTTAAAAAAAAAAAAAGGCACACTTGTATGTGAAAATAGGCTGGAAAATTTCCAAGTGCAACTGAAGACTACTTCAGAAGCTTTTGAATTTACTCAAAAAAGCAATATAATACTTAGACTAATAGTCCTCCAGAACCATTTTACTTACCAACCACTTTTTGCTGTTCAAATAGGTGAGGTTTTCCCAGGCTTGTACTACCATTTCCCATGGCTTTCCCACACATGAGGCTGGACCCCCTTGCAAAAGAGGAAGTATTGCAGGTTTTAATTGACTGGGTTTTAGCACTTGCTCCCACCGGATGTATCTACAAGAAATCCTTTTAATTAGCTTTATTTCCTGGGGTTTTGCTTTCTGTATTCAGACTTCTGCTGTTGTGGGCTACATCTCACAGTAATCCCTGCAGTATTTCAATTCCTATGGGAAGAAGTGCAGGATGTTGTGGGATCTTTGCTCAGAAGGGAGGTATTTTGCATGGCTTTTTCCCTTCCTTTTTCTCGAGTAGTCCCCATCCTGCCCTACTCCTGAATGCAAACTGTCGCATTAGCTCAGGACAAACCCTTTTACAGAGCACTGGGCTGAATGTGGCTGTCAAGATTTCATCCAGTAGAATTAGAATTATTACACTTGTCTCAGCTTCAGGGTTTATTTGGGGTTTTAAGGAAATACACAGAAACAATCAAAATGGGTGCTCAGCCTCCCCTGCTTCATCTGGCTCACATCCCTGAGCTTTGCAGCAGGGGCAGGGAACTCTGGTGAGGAAACTTGGCCACCTTGTCCCCGAACACCAGAGAGTGTTTGAAGGGTTTTTAGACGGACAGTTTTGTAAATCCCTTCTTTACCCATTAATCCATATTTTTTCCAGAAATGAAGTTCTGGATGGCAGGTAAAACCTTTGCTAGGTTTTTATCCATGAAATATCTTAAATGGAAGGTTTATGTCCTGCAAACATCCATTTCCTCATTTCTTTCCTGTGAAAATATTTTTTTTTACCCCCTGACTTCTTTTTGGACAAATCACAGTTAGTAATCCAGCCTTTCAAATAGAAAGATGGAGTCTACCCTAAGTGCAGATGTGGCAGCAAGAGGAAAGGAATAGGATAAACCCAAGTATTTTGAGCAGGTCTGTGACAGCTGTAAGGAAACATTAGGAAAGGTGTGGGTTGAATGGAAGTTTCTCATGAGGCTGGACTGGGTGTAGTGTGTCACTGCCTGGCATGCCAGCTAAAACTTATGCCTATTCCAGGTGACTGTTCTCATTTTAATATCACAGTATCATTGCAGGAACTTCCAGCTCAACAGCTTAACCGATTTCTTACACACTGACAAGTGTAGAGCTCTGAGTGATCAGAGAATTCAGTGACACCTTTTTTAGGAGTCCCCGTTTTGCAAATAATTAGGCATCCACATAATTTATAACATGAGTAGTTCTGATTCTATTGAGACTATTCAAGTTCATTCAAAGTAAGCATGTATAAAAAAGCTTGCAGGGTTATTTTCTCAACGGTATTGCATAGAGATGTCCTGTTAGCATATATTTAGAAATATAGTTGTTGTCATTAACCAAACTTCTACTCATCGATTGTTCCAGGCTGCAGATAATGACTCTGCAAAAGAATCAATCTAGGGTACTTTTTTTTAATGTTCAACTTAATTAGTTTATTAGAGATGGAGACAAACTAACATTTCAGAGTATTTTGTTTTCGATACATTGTTTCTGTTCAATGCTGAGTGGAACAGGTATGAGCAGAGCTATAAATGAGTAATTTCAATGTAAGCTGTTAGTTGCTCCTAGTGAGTTAATTTTCAAGTCATTCTTGCTCAGTGGGCTGCAGTTTAAGACAGGAAATATTGTGAGGAGAAAGAAATTTAAACTCATTTAATGCTTAGCTCATTTAAGATAACCCTAAATTAGGTTAATTTTAAAAGAATTTGCCTTTAGTCTTGAGAATTTATTTAGACCTGATCTGTTCTATGTAGTTACATCCCCTGGATGGCTTTGCAAGTACTGACATTTAAACAAGAGGTGGTGATTATGGGCCAGACAAGTGCCAGCTGTGTCCTGCTTTATCCCCTGGGTCTCCTGGTCAGCACTTTCACATGTGCTCAAGGCCCCACCTTAAGCTGTGTAGGTTTGTGTAACCTCAGCATTAAAATCCCCACACACCTGCTCATTCCCTTGAAGGTTGTGTGCAGTATTTACTGATCCCTTACAGTGATGTGGAAGGAGAAAAGCAAAAGTTCAAAGTCGTGAATATGTTTTTCATTGCAGGTATATAGGAAGCTCATATTCCAGCTTTTGTAGCCATGGATCTAACTTTGCCAGAGCGTGGTTCTGGGAGTCAGTGTTGTGAACAGATTTCAAGTTAAAAAATGTTAAACTTCCAGCATATATTCCTTCTAAATTATCCAAAATAACTCTGTACAGCAAGGAGCTACAAAAAAGAGACTTAAAAAGATTTTTCCTCTTCAAGGAATTATAACTTGAGCACAATTGTACATTCATAGAATAGTGATCATAAATAATGTTTAAGTGCAATACATAACACTTAAGGAGCATTCTAATTGTGTTTTAAAAGCACTGTGTTGGTTCATAGGGTTGTTGAGAGGCTTGTAGTGTTGTTCCTAGTCCTAAATGAGGGTATTTGTGCTGATTATGGGATTAGGCTGCAAGCAGAGATGTAATCAATTCCTGAGGTGTATCTGCCCTGTGGATGAAGCCCAGGCAGCCTGTGGGAAGGCCTGTGTTGTCCTCCACTACCTTGCCAGGATATTACCATCCTCTGGCAGCCTTTTGCAAAGTCATTTTTGGAAAGAACAGTAAGCTGCACACTCAGCTTCATTTTTAAGTAGTTTTTGTGTCACAGAGTGAGCAAACCAGTACTGATCAGGAAAGGTGTAAAGATGAAGGGTTTTATCATTTAGTGCCAAACACTCAGAGTTGAAAAGACATAGAATATGTCATTAAAATCAGTGTTGATTTGTAAGACATTCTTTATATGAGGAAAGTACAGAAGTTTCTAATTAAGGGTTAACACTTTGGCTGCTCTTACCATTAATATCAAATAATCCTATAAGAATTAAAGGCTGTAAAATATTTGAAATGTGTAAGGCTGATGTACAGAGGAGATGCAGCAGTGGTTGTCTGCAGTTCTTTTATTTCAGGTATTACCACCATCCTGGCATAGTTTCTGTCCTTCCTGTCAGTGAAACTGTCACCCTGTTCTAGAGAGGAACATGGTCCAGGGCTGCATGGCTGGATCCAGGGATCAGTGTTGGGACAGCCCAGAGGCACCAGGTGTAAAAGAAAATGCACAGAGGAAAAGCCATAATTGCTAGGAAGGCAATAAATAGGATGGAGATCACTGCACAACTGGTATCTCCCTCCATGAATAACAAGGGTGGAAGTGGGCTTACAAAGAGAGGTACCATGAATATGTTTTAAAATACTTACTCAGGCTCAGATGCCCCAGTGGATGCTACGTGGAGTTCTGCAGTGCCACTGCTGCCACAACAGCCTAAAGGCTGATGCTCTTTGGCACTTACCCCTAAAAGTATGGAAGAATAAATTTAACAGTAACATCAATCCATTAGTGTTTGTTTTGGCTGCATGTTGTGGATTCCCTGTGGAAAAAGAAAATAGAGTTTTAAAAACTTCAAATGGCTTTAGGAGCACTGCAGCAACTCTGGCAATTCTACCGTGTTGTGTGAACTTTAATTAGGGGTTGGGCAGCTGAACCACACTGATAAATAAAACACCTCAACAGCCTCACCCAGCTTGTTGCAGTTCCAGTTCTGTGTATGTTTGTGAATCAGAGACCATGAGACCATGCAAAACACACCTGAAATGGACTGGAAAATAACTTTGCCTTCATCTGGTGTTAAATTAAATTTAAATGAGGAATTTCTCCCTACCTGCCTAGTCTGTAGGAATTAGTTATTTCATGATCTTCTGAAATGCCTGGTGCATTACTGTATTTGAGGTATTTGCTGGTTTTTAAATGGAATTAGGTTTCGTAAATATTTTGTCAGCCCCGTTTCAGTGGGTGTCCAGTTTATATAAAACCTGAAGAAATGCTGTGTCAAAACCTTGTGTTTAGCCATGGTTATCCTATAGCATCTCCTGCACTGACAGCAATTGCAGTTTGAGAGAGCAGGGAGTGATTGCTTAAGGTTGTTTTTCCAGTTAACATTGTATGTGCTTTCCCACTTTTAACATGGAAGTAGAATTTCCTCCAAGTACGTTTTCCAGCAGAAAAAATGAAATAATTTGTGGTGCCAAACACTTCAAAATATGTTGCTAAGTGTTGCCTCCTCTTATTGCACTAGTTTTAAAATTCAGTTTTTGATCACTTACTGTCCTTTTGATGGCCTTTTTAACAGATTTTCCCCCCAAACCACTTTCTACTCCTGAAAAATGCTCGTGTCCTTTTGATTACATCATGGAAGCCTCAAAGGAATTTACCCCAGACTGTGGGTGAAAGAAGCACTATGTGGGGTGAAGTAATAAAAGAAAATAATCAGACTTTAATATGTTTCAGAAATGTAAGATTAATTTATGATTCAGATGTGATTGTGTATTCTTATGGAGTGAAATATTGGAATATTCTTTTATAAGAAAATTTAGCCCACATAGCGTTAAATTCTGCAATTAAATCTATCTCTATAATTGATATATAATAATGTAAATTATAACCCAAAAATTTAAATTTTACAGTGGAAGAGCACACAGTGAATTATGTAAAAGTATGATCTTCACTTTGTGAGTCATTTTTAAGAAGCACTTTCCTATTACCAACTAGCATGTGAATGAATTTTAGATTCTCTCATTTGTTATGATCTGTAGAAGTGAAACTTCTTTAATCTGTCTGTTAATGGGTAAATCCATCCTACAAATGCTGAAACAAAGCACCTTATACTATGCTGCTTAAACTTGCTTGTAATTGCACCTTTTGTTATCTGCAGAGTTTTCTTAATGAGTATTCTTGTGTGAAATCATTGTTCCCTGTGGGTCTGGGGGAATGATTAACCAACCTACAGCATCATTTACTTTCTCTTCCAATACAACATTGTATTGTGAGTTCAGTGCTTCAGAAATAAATGCTACTTTCATTTGTCTGCTTTGGTCGCGTATCATTTATTTCTCTTCTACAAAATTAAACCAAGTCCTTTCTAAAACGGTAAGAATTTGGAAATTAAGAGTATTTTTGCTCGAAGCCTGACTAATTCTTTCCCTACCATAGTCACCCTTCATATTTAACTATTTTAAAGTAATTTTGACTTCAAAATAAACTGTATTTTAATTTAAGCCATTCTTTAGCCTTGGGCATGTATTTAGATATAGCAATTAACCTTGTTGCTTAGATCTCTGACTGTAGTAATTCAATTTTTAATATGTACTTATACATTACAGGAGCAGCAGCAAAGAAACAGCGAAGCTTCAGCACCTCTGCTGTGGCTGTGGAAGTTGCACATCTTGCACTGGTTTTGTACCATGTAAAGTTTCTATTTCTATAGGAGCTGTAGCTTTTCATTAACTAAAAAAATTTATTTCTTGTTAGACAACAACCCTTAACTTCAATCAAGCTGACACAAAGCCAGACTTTAACAAGAAAATACACTTCAAAAAAATCACAGAAGTTGTTTGAACTTTGGATCAGCACCTGTATGTAGCTCCAGCCTTGAAGACTTTATTGCATTTTGTACTGTAAAACCTGAGATCATTCCATGTAAAGGAAATGTAAAATTCTGTCACAAACATGAGGTTTAACAGAAAAGTTGGCTTATATAAGCAGTGGTCTTTTAAACATGTAATCTGAGGTTGAATCCCGTGAACTGACTGCTTGCAGTGCACTGGGACCAGTGTCCTGCACTCCAGTGCAACATTCACTACAATATTGGACTTTTTTCCATGGAGTGTAGCTCTGGAGCTGTTTCCTTGTGTTGTCTGTGAGGACCCAGCCACCGACCCTCAGCGCCCACACTTACTGCAGCCTTTCCAGCCAGCAGCTCATTAACAGATGACAATCACCACACCCGGCTCATCAGCTGGCTCTGTGTTTTCATTGTCAAACGGCACAAAGCAGAATTTCCAGCTGACAAACGGGTCTGAGCTCCACGGCCCCTCTGCCAGCTCGACCTCGTGGCACCGGCACCAGTACATGGCTGCCAGGAGGAAGCTGTTGATGAAGTACAGCCAGGGCACGTTCATGTCCACGTAGGCCGGAATCCGCGCTCCCAGGAACACAACCAGGACCTGGAGAACAACTAAAGGTGCCCAAGTGCCAAGAAAGCAGATGAGGAGTCTGCTCAGGAGCTGCCACTTAAAGCAGGTGGTAGTGTTGGACGTGTAGGAGAACATCAAAGCAGGCTGACTGGAGATGGAGACAAGCCTGGCAGACAGCAGGGTGGTCACCACCTCCTTCCAGCGAGCCAGGAGAGCAGTGCCCAGGAGCAGCACCATGGCACACGAGACTGAGTAGCTCTGCAGGCTGGCAGAGACAGGGCACTGGTAAGGAGAGACACTCTTCTGAATTTCCAGCTCTTCATAGACAGCGGGAACTTTCAGAATACAGAAAAACCCTGAAATCCATATAACCACCACAGCGAACACGTACAGTAATTTCTGGCCTGTTTTAGAGAAGTGGGATGTCTGGGAGACAGTGGTGTAATAGTCCAGAGCAGCCACGAGGTACACGGGGTAGTGCAGAACCCCGCAGGTGAGAGAGGTGATCTGGGTGAAGAGGCAGATGTGGTACTTGGTGAACCGCATCCCCCAGAGTGCAAAGTCCTCAAAACAGAAAATGAAACAGAAGATCAGCAGCAGCGTGAGATCGAGAAGTGCCACTGAAATGCAAAAGTATCCCATAAAACTGGCTTTCACGTTTTTTGGCTTAACTTGCAACATGAAGAAATCAAGGAAGACTTTTCCAAGCATGATCAGGAGCAACACGCAGCTGGTTTCAAGAGTTTGGTTGCCGTGGGTGCAGTGGTACTGGCCAGAACCATTTTCACAGAGTCTGGCAGCCATCCTCCAGTGGTGAAAACAGCAAAAAGTGTCACAGGGCACAGTGCTTCATCTCTGAAAAGGAAAAAAGTTTAAAAAAATTTATTTCTTGGTACCTCTACCAGTTAGTTAATTGTCCATCATAGCAAGTACCCAATTTACTCTGAGTTTTCCAGGCTCCTTAATTAAGAGTAAATAACTTCACTAACACATCATTAAATTGCCAACAAGTGTTTAAATTTTATGTTATTCAAATTACATTTTTGAGAGTTACAAGGTCAACATAGACATAAGTTACTTTTCTAGTTGCTGTCCCAAGGAAAGGTTTAGGAAATAAGGGTGACTGTGCTCCTGTCCTTTAGAAAGCAAAGAGGTCTTTCTGTGCAGCTGGGCAGAGGGATGGAGGTTCAGAGCTCCTACACATTTTGAAGAAATTAGACAATTACAGAAATTGTACAAGAGATATCGCAGTGTGGCCTCACAGTTCGTGATGCTCATGCAACCTGTGAGAAATTGAGACTGCAGAAGTGTCCTGAAAGCAGAAAAAGCATCAATGCAGCCCATCCTTTTCCAAAGTCCTGGAACTCCGAGGCAATCCAAAACACACAGGCTTCATTAGTGACTGGCCTTTTTTGTTCACCTTTAAACAATGTGAGTGCTACAATGACAGACACCTCAGAAGAGCTGGTTTTCCTTCGGACTTCCGTAAGTTTCCTTATGGTAACTCTTTTCTGTACGTTAATTCCTAAGGAAAATGAACACAGGATGGCTTCATGTAAATCAGCAAGACAAATTAGACAAAGCTTTCCATGCTTTCTTCTCTTTCCTTGAAGAAGCAGGATGGCATCAGTGACCTCGGCGAGAGCAGAGAAGAGCCGAAGTAAAGAGGAGTTGCCTCTCTTGGCTCTGTGTTATCAGCTGGATTTAAATAGGCAGCTGTGTTTTGTCACCCACTTGCCAGAGTCATTGAACACTGGAGTTAGTGCACGTTTGAGTTCGTGTGTCCTGAAAGGCAGAGTTGGAGCAACTAGAAGTCCTTGGCAGTACAGCTTGAGAAGTATCAACAGATACACAGATACGTGTTTACAAGCCTACCTGGGCTCAGCGCTTCACCCTTTATCGGCTCAAGTGCATCCTCTAACACCTGATACGTCTCACAGAACGACTTAATTCCGTCCATGTTTCGTCTTCACGTACCGGAGGCTGCGCTCCTGTCCGCGGAAAAGGAAACCTGCACGAGAACAGGGTCCCGCTCGGTAAGTGTCTAATAATAATAATAATAACTTATATATTGTAAGGCGGAATCACCATCCAGGCTGTGCGGACCCGGCTGCGGGCACAACCCGCACCCTGCGCACGGAGGGACCGGCGCTGCCCGCGCCTCCTCCCGGGCGCTCCCGGCCGCTGCCCCCCGCCCTCCCGGCGGGATCCTGCTGCTCCCCGCAGGGACAGGGAGGGAGGGAGGCGGCCGAGGGGGCTCCGAGTGGCTGCTCCTGCTCCCCACGCCCGGCCCCGGCACCCACCTGCGGCCGCCGCTCCTGCCCCGCGCCATCGCCTCCTCCCCGACGGGGACCGGGCGGGACGGGGCGGGACGGGGCGGGATCGTGTCCAGGGAAACGTAACATAACGCACATCACACATCTAACAGATAACATGTAGCACATATAGCACAACACAGCCGCCCCGACGAACAGGTTCCGTGCGTTGTGTCTGATCCCCCGGCCGAGGGAGACGAAGCGCCCCGTGGTACCTCAGCGCCGTGGGGCTCCCAAATCCTTATGGATGTGGCAGAGAAACGCTTTGGGTTCTAAACGTGTTATGTGGGGGAGGGGGGAGAAAGGCTTTGGCGAGGGGTGAGGGCGCTTCAGCGGGAGCCTTCCGAACCCCCGTGACTTGGCTGCATGGCAGGGAGCACAGGATGCTTCCCTTTGGGAAGCCGTGAGTCCACATGGTGGGTGTTGTTTGATGTATCCAAGTGTACAAAATGTCAAGTGGGTGGGAGGACTTTCTCTGAAAGCAACTAACTCTCTGGAATTAAATTCAGATATAAGTAGAGATTTCCCCCCCCCCACCTTTTTATTTTCCCTTTCTCCTTCCATGGTTCATCTGAAGGATTAAATAACTTCACAGGGAGAAAAAAAAGTGATCAGTACTGTGAAAAACATGAGAGCTTCAAGTAATCTCCAGCAGCATTCACACTGGCAATAGTTACTTGTCCAAACCATTTTCCCCAGGATTGTTGCACAAATTGGAGTATAATAAGAAGCTGTTTACACCTGAGAGGGTATTGCACCTTCTGAATACTCAGTCCACCCACAAGTATCTTAAGGCTAATGCCTTCAAGAGTGGTTTTCTTCTTCTTAGTTCTAACCCAAGGCAAAGCAGTGAAAGTGATTTTCCCAGTGGGAGATAATAAACCCTTTGGATGCTTCTGTTGGATGTTTTGGTTTGTCTGTGTTCATGTCTGTCTTTATGACAGCAGAAAATACTCTACCGGCCTGTATGGGGAGATGCCTGGATGGTGGAAATGAGCAACCAGGAGGGGACAGGGACAGTTTAGATATATTTTTCTGCTGATAAAAATCCCAGTGGGTGTGTGATGTCCAGACTATGTCAGATCCATGTTTAGTGACCCTGTTGAGCAGGGTCCTCAACATGGCCCATGTTACATCCCAGTTTCATGTCGTGGCTACTTCTCAGCTTCCCTTTCCCTCTTCCACCTTTTTCAGCTGTTTTGAAAGTTTGCTTATTATGCACAGGTTACCCCTGTTTTCTGCTCCTGGATACTGTGTCTCATCTTCCATCCCAGAGAAACAATGGTGCAAGATGGGATACCCTGGAAACCAAATGCAGAGCTTGGCATTTGCAGGTTCTTCTCACCGTGCCAGAAAAGCTGCTCACACTCAGTACTGGATAAGGGCTGGATCTTCCTTTGCAGGAAAACTTGCAGGTACTTGACAAACATCATGTTCTGAAAATAATGGCTTGAGCCCATCCTGCCCGATTAAAGAGGCTGCATTTATATCCATGGGCAGCAATAGAAGGGTTTAAGAAATCAGTTTATATTTGCATGCAGGCAGCTGTGTGTGAAAACAGAGAGGAGAGTCCTCCTCCAGGATGAGGCACGTGAAATAATGCAGCAAACCTCTTGCAAAAGCTGCTTGTGTACTACAAGCTCGTGTGATGGTTCTGTGTCCTCTGTTGTAACAAGATATTTGCATGAGGCTTCCTTCCTTCTTCAAGGCTGTTTCCTGCTGCTAGTTGCTTATACTTTCGGTTCTGTTGTTGAACTTTACTGTAAAGATAGGATTTTAGAACAAAGGGGAAAGCAACAAGAGAAAAAAACCTCTCTGATTTCAAATCTAACTTGATAACTTTGTGAAAGAAACAGTGACTGAGCAAAGTGTCCTCACTGAGCAGGGGTTGGGCTCTACCCTCTCCTCCCTGTGGCCTCATAAGTCACTTAAGAAGAGCAGTGTGGACCATTACAGTTCCTGCATGTTGCTTCTGCCTGACTTGGGCCAGGAGGTTTCCTTCAGACAGGGGCAGGTGCAGATAATGAATACAACTCCTTTCCATGGAGAAGTGTGGGGTGTTCTTCCTGTGCAGTCAGAACTGAATCTTTGCTTTTCCCCTGCTCTTCCTGTTTGGGAGGTGCTGTGCTTCAGAAGCTCGTGTCCACCTGACCCTTTATGCTGTTGAGCAGAAGAAAACAATTTAAACCTCACTTTTGTGTATTTCAAGAAGTCTGGTGTTGGCGTCTCGGCCACCTCAAGCCATATGGGAGAAGACAAGGAGATCAAGTGCATATGTATGTATTTTGATGCCATGTGTGGGGAAAGCTGCTCACTGTGATCTCCTGCAAAACACACTGTGAAATCCTGCAAAAATGATTGTGAAAACTCCCTCTCCTGAGCAGTGAGGGGCTGGGGGAGACTTGGTTTGGAGAGGGATGGTCACCACAGCTGTGGGCAGAGCGCGCCGTGGTCATTGTGGAATGTTCTCTGGAACACATTTGTCTGTAGGGATGAGTTCCAGGCTGGTACAGCCTTGCCTGCATCCTCCCCTCGATGTGCCTTTAACTGGGTGTTGCCCAGCTGAGCATGTTTAATGCCCTATATTAGATTTTGTGCCTTGTCAGCACAGGATCAGCAGCTGGAGTTTTGCAATGGCAAGCAGTTGTGGAGCTGCTGTTCCTGAAAGGCTGCATGGCTCAGGAAGACAGGATGGTGGTTATGAAGATTTAAATTTTTTAATAAAATATTTAACTAATAGAGTATGTAACTAATAAACTATTTAACCAACTTTATTTTTATCTAACTTTATTTTTAAAAAAGAAAATGCTTGACCAGTGTCCCATTTGCAAGATGTCTTCATTTACTTTTCAGGAATCTTATAAGAGCACAGACAATGTGGCTTTAGATCTTCATTTGAGGTGCTCATCTTAAAAGTAACAGGTTTGTTCTTGGGAAGATCTTGTTGAGGAGAAGCACATTTTCATAGTAATTTAACTTGAAGACAATCTTGTTATAGAATCTCAACTCTGATTATTCAGTGAAAATCCAGTGAACACAGTGGAGAGTTGAATCCATGGATTTTTCAGGAGTGGTGGTTCCTTGGTTTGTGTACCCACCATGTGCTTTCCCAGTGCCCATGGTGGCCCTGCAGTGTTGGTGTTTCTTGGCTTGTCTTCGACACCAGTAATTTTTCAGGGAACTAGAAGAAAGAAAGTACGAGCAAGGCTCTGGAAACTACATCACATGAACCAGTAGTTTATAGAACGCGGTTGGTGGCTTGCTGGTCACTTTGATAAGGAACTAAAATTGAGACTAAAGCCAACATGGAGTGCAGGGTGTGAGCTGACTCTCCTTGTGCTGCCCATAAATACCGAAGCTGAGCCAGAAATCTTCTGTAACCTTTTAGTATATCGCTGCCTCCTGGTAGACTTTAATTTTAAACAAATTCTGTAGTGGCACTTTCACTTAAAAGGAAGCTTAAAAGGGTGGAAATGTAATTTCAATCCCACCCTCAGCGTGAAGAATTCAAAACTCCTCTTCTGACTCCCAACCAACAACCTAATTACTGGTTGAAGACTCATGTGCCAGAAAGAGAAAATTAGAATTTACTGAGGGCCAGTGAGAGTCACCCAGGACTCTGCTCCATGTTCCATTTATTGACTAGCAAAGGTAAAATGCCAGTGCCTCTTTCCTAAGCACCTACATCCTTCACTGGGTCCAGGCTCCTGAGTACTTTTGGGGATCACAAGCTGAGCCTTTTCAGTGTTTGGCTTCTGTTGCACATGATGAGGATTAATGGTTGTTACCACCTGCAGAGAAGGCTTTGCTCTTTATCTAAAGCAGGATCAGTGTTTACTCAGTACTGTTAGCTCTCCTTACTTCGACTTGCACTGAAACCCTTTGCACCCTGCCATTACTAACTCTCCCTCCAATGTCTGTTATCATAGAACAGTTTTTTTTTCTGAGTGACCATTATTTTCACATACAGAAAAATACACATGGCAGAGCAAATGCCTCTGTGCCAGCCAGGCAGGAATGGACTCTTTGTGGACACTATCAGGAAATGTGCCTTTTGTTTTCCTGCACCTGTTGCTGAATTACAGATAAAATAATCCAGTGCTTTATTAAATAAAATGAGAAGCCCTAATGAAATTGTACCAGCCATTACCAGGAAGTCTATTGAAAACATTCAGCAGCTGCTTCTGTCCCAGTTCCCTTACACTGATAGGATTGTTTTGCCTGTGTCCTTGTGCTCTAAATGAGGAGGGCACAGTGCCTTGGACCATCTCACACCACTCTCCTCTCGCTCCCTGGGATTTGGTCAGAATCAGTAATAAATGATGCTCAACAGCACCTCTGAGTTGTACAAGTTTGTTAGAAGCTGGTGTCCCAGGTCCTGCATCTGAGTGTTCTGCAAACATCAGGTCATGTACCCTGACAGCAGTAAAGCAGGTAAAAATCTACTGGTTTATTCTGATTCTATAGAGGAGCATTGATCAGAGAGGCTGAGAATCAAACCAGTGAGCCCTTCTCCTTATACAAAATACCTCAGCAGCCTGGAGTGAGCTGGGGATCAGCCTCGTTCAACAGTTAAATGTCACCACTCCTTCACTGAAAGTCTCTGACAGAACTGATCTCTCTGTCTCTGCTGTTTTTAAAAGTCAACCCATCTGTCACAGCTGTGCTGGCAAGTGGGTGGAGACTCCTGCCCAGGACAGGCTGTAGTTCCTAACAAGAACTGTCTAATTTTAAAGAAAAGGTAATCCCAGCACTAATTGTCCGTGCTAAATCTTGCATAAAAACCACTAAGAAGTTGCATCTCAACTGCTTTGGAGCTTGGGAAAAGTTTAATACACAATTTCTGGTACAAAAAGCATAACAAAGAATGGTGTTCAAACTTGGATGGTTTAAGGTTTGTTTTTGAAAATGTATGAGAAGTAGGTGGATGAAATGTCAGCCAAGGAGTAAGTGATGCACCCTCCCCTCCCAGCCAGGGAAGGAATCGCTGCACCCAGGGGCAGCAGGAGCAGTGGGAGGACACACAGG